CAGTAAGGTAATGCATCAATTGTTGACACGCACCAAAAAAAAATTGTGAGACTGTCTGGCTTTTAGCCAATAGAATCTCGATATTTCGTGTTAGCCTTGTATGATTGGATATAATAACATTCGTCTCTATATTTTATTACATGTCTCAATGTTGAAGTCTGGTCAGTTTTTTTCAATCTCAAACAAAACAATACAAGCATTTAAATAGAATGTCAACTAGAAACCCTTGAAGCCGTCCCGCCATATATGCCTATGAGAGCGTCACAGCTACGTGAAACATGGAATTATTTATATGGATTTCAAATATCCGTGATAGTATCATGTGTCATCCAAACGTCATCCAACATTAATATTAGGTCATATCCAAATTAGTAGAGATGAGAGTAAATTAGGATTATGCTAGGTCATTGCATACAGGCCTCGTCCGGGAGCGGCACGGCCTACGGCCTACCTGCCGCTGCCCGACAAGAAGAAAAGATAGATCATTCGGTGAAGTGAGAAGCTTAGATCCGCGCTCTCGTACGGCCGCGCTTGCGCAGACGGCCTCCCGGGCGCTCGGGGCCAACGTAAGGCTTGGTCACTACTTTAGGTTTCATCCCACAACTTCATCCAATTTCTTCCAATGTCATCCAAATTTCATCCACATGTCATCCACGCTTTTAATTCAATAATTATATTATATTAACCATAGTATCCAAGGTTGGTATTAATATTCAATGCCGTCCCGTAAGTCTTAAGTACTCACTTTCGAGTCATCGCTACCATAGACGAAGAAGAAGAATTTTATTACGTGTTGCGAAATGCATGCAATTATACTTTTGATCAAATTATTTTGCATATTAATTTAAACGAATACAAAAGTCAAGGTTTTTAAGGAGTGTCATAAATTGGTTCGCCTCAAAAGTCGTTACCATAAAGCTCAAAACATTTAATTTCGATACAAATCTGAAATGTAGTCCAATCATGCTCAATAATACGTTAAAAAATGGTGGCGTTTTATATTCTCTAGTGGTTCAATCAGCATGAAAATAATCGTTCTCGTTCCCGAGCTACTGGGATTTGAAGTCATGGCCAAAACTTGACCAAAAATAGTGTCAATAATTGATGTATTACCCGTATTAATATATACAGTGTCTCTTGGAATACGGGGAAAGCGCGGTTGGCCCACCCAATTTGTATGACCAAGTCACTCATGACATTTGCCTGACGTAGTGAATCTACCGGTAGAAGTACAATAACGTTACTCTACCTTATGGATCAGTATCCATGATTTTGCCTTATCGCGTTGTACCCAAATTGCTGTATGGTGTCAATAAGGTACGATTTGGTGGTACCTTGGAAGGCTGTTCCCAAGTCGCTTTATATTGGTCAAAAATATCCAATTATCTCGTTCTAGCCAATTAAACAAGTCGAAGTAGTAGAAGTAACCAATCCGAACGCATTGGAAAGAAATCAGACCACCTTATTGAGTTGTATCCATTTCGATCAGATTTTACTGACATTTTCGGGGGTACAGATCTATCCATTTCGATCAGATTTTACTGACATTTTCGGGGGTACAGATCCATAAGGTATACGGCCTCAATCTCTTGGAATACGGGAGGAAGCCTAAGCGACGTAGTCGTCGACGTAATGCATGTGGGTGTCAACTACGTCGCCTTGCATTTCGTTCGACGTAATGCATGTATGCCATATGTAAATTTACATTCATTCGACCGGATAAACCGAGCTGCAGCTCGGTTTGTCGGGTCGAAGGCTGACACGGTCGAGTGTGTTTGGTACCGGTGGAACGGCGCCGAGTGGCCTTTCCGGACGTCGCATACGATCACGGTCATGACCACCTTCGAGGTGAGACGAGGGTGCTGGGGTTGTGGGGATGCCATACCATCGACTCGACGTCCGTCGAGAGCGAGAAATTGGAGAACGCTTGCAGCGCGTACTCAGAGGTGGGACCGCCTTGTTCACGTTGACATGGGCTCGCCTCTTCATGGGCGTGCTACACGAACCATGTTCTTCATCACTATAGACATTACCTGTTTTATGTCGGCTAATAGTTGTGCAATTGAACTGGTTTGTCGACTTGTGCTACTGCTGGTCATGGTAGAAATGTCTCCCCCACTAACTGCCCCTATTCCTTCACGTTTCGACGCCCGTAGGCGCTGACAAGAAATGCATTTATATGTTTATATCAATTACAATGAATGTGGTCAAGCAACTACACATCTAAGGTCTCTGAAGTACTTAGTGTACACAGCGCCCAAGTCAATCAAAGTCCACCCACCTAAAGGATAGGAATAGTAGAATCTTGAATGTGGCTAGCAATTAATAACGTGCTGTGTATAACCAAAATGCAGTTTGTACGTTCCGTCAGTTGATATAGCCAACGACGACCCTTGACATTCGTGGGCCCATGAAATATTCCACATGTTCTGGCGCGAGGACAACACTAGTCCAACGTAGGGTTTGTCGTCGCCTTGATCGGCATACGTCCCTTCAAAGACGTCCAGTACAATCAGCCTGCGGCTACATACTGTATGTG